CCAGACACACACTGACTGAAAGTAAAGGGATAGGATAAGATATTTCATGCAAATAGAAATGGAAAAAGTCTGGAGTAGCAATACTTATTTCAGACAAAATAGACTTTAAAATGAAGACTACAATAAAAGACAAGGGCACTACATAATAACCCAGGGATCGATTCCACAAGAGGAAATAACCCTAGTAAACATCTATGCGCCAACATAGGAGCTCCTAAATATATAAAACAGATTTTGACAGATATCAAGACAGAGATCAACAGTAACACTATCGTAGTAGGGGAATGGGACTTCAACACCCTGTTGTCACCAATGGACAGATCCTCCAGACAGAAAATCAACACGGAAACAGTGGTCTTAAATGACACTTTAGACCAGCGGGATTTAATCAATATTTTTAGAGCATTTCACCTGAATGCAACAGAATATACATTCTTCTCAAGTGCACACGGAACATTTTCCAAGATAGACCCCATGTTAGGCCACAAAACAAGTCTCAATACATTTAAGAAGATTGAAATCATATCAAGTGTCTTCTCTGACCACAATGCTATGAAACTAGGAATGAATTATAAGAAGAAACCCAGAAAGCACACAAATACATGGAGGCCGAATAACATGCTACTAAACAGCGAGTGGGTCAAAACTGAGATCAAGGAAGAAATCAAAAGCTGTCTTAAGTAAATGAAAATGAACACACATCAACCCAAAAACCTATGGGATGCAGCAAAAGCAGCCCTAAGAGGGAAATTCATAGCAATGCAGGCCTATCTAAAGAAACAAGAACAATCTCAAATCAATAGACTATCTTTACACCTAAGGAAACTGGAAAAAGAACAGCAAAACAAGCCCAAAGGGAGTACAGGGAAGGAAATAATAAAGACCAGAGCAGAAATAAATGAAATAGAGACCAAAATAAACAATACAAAAGATCAATGAAACTAAGAGCTGGTTTTTGAAAAGAAAAACAAAATCGACAAACCCTTAGCCAGACTCATCAAGAAAAACAGAAAGAGATACAAACAGAAAGAGGAGAAGTCACAACAGATACCACAAAAATACAGATAATTTTAAGAAAATACTACGAGCAACTACATGCCAACAAATTCGACAATCTGGAAGAAATGGATAAATTTCTAAAAGCATACAATCCACCAAGTCTGAACAAAGAAGAAACAGAAACTCTGAACAGACTGATTACTACCAAAGAAANCCTGCTGCTCCGAGCTGCATCCCAAGCCAACTTTTAACCAACGTGCCACTTGGCAGGCCCAGAATTAAAAGTTTTTATTTTAGCTGAGCCATCCTGCCACCTGTTGGCAGCTCAGCAGGAGCTCAGCTCGGGCTGGGAGTCAAACCGGAACCCTGTTGCTCACAGCTCGCACTCTTGAGCGAGTTCTTAACCAACTGAGCCACTCAGCCAGCCTTAAAAGCTTTTATCCAGTCTTATTTCTCCTAACAAATTCCTTTGCATTTTTTCTCAATACATAACATTTTGTAAATAATTATGAAAGGTTCACAGGCCCTGAAATTCCACCAGTGATCAAGACCTCCTGATTTTTACCGTTAATAAACAACTAATTTAAGTAGCCCCAATATGAAAATAAGCATCAATTTGAAGAATTAAATAAGCTGTTCAAGGTCACAGCAGGGACATTCGAGAAAGAATTATAAGTTTCCAGGGTTAATACATTAAATTACATCTTTTTGCACTAGGTATTTCTTCATAGATATTCTGTTGAGTCATCTATGAGTTCCTTTTGCTATCTATGCTAAGATGCTACAAATATAGACTAAACCTGAGTCTGAAAATTGAAAAACACACATATAACCAAACTGAGAGACACTAGAAAATAACTGGCTGTTCTTCTTTGGAAAATGTCAGTCATGGAAGACAAAAAAAGGCTGAGGAACTAGTCCAGATTAAAGGAAACTAAAGAAACACAAAAACTACATGCAATACATAATCCTGTACTAGATGGGAAAACATGCTATAAAGGACGTGATTAGGATAACTGATAAAACTAGACTGTGGACTATAGAATTTTACCATTGTTACATAAAAATATCCTTGTTCTTAGAAAATACATATTAAAGTATTAAGGGGTAGGGGTAACTGGATCAGAAACACACATACACACATACACACACTGAATGATAAAGGAAATGTGGCAAAATGTTAAAAAATGGCTGAATTTTGGTAAAGTAGATCTGAAAGTTTTCCAATTACTCTTTCAAGTTTTTGATAAGTTTGAAATTATTTCAAAATAAAGTTAAAAAATTACATATATACTTTACCTCTGTCCAATTTAATCCCATCATCAAAACGGGAGAAGAGCCTGTATCTCTGGGCCCAGTATTTTGCCAGTTTAGGAACAGCAGCTATCTCAGGAGGCAGACCAATTACCTTTTTGTTTTTGTTTTTCTTCTTCTTCTTCTTTTTAATTTCAGCTGCAATAAAAGAATATGAAGAATACAGATGCTCACTTTGAAGAAAGGATATCACAGGTGAATTTATCTAAAAGTGTAGTAGTCACATCAAACAATCACAACTTGGGATTTCACTTCAGAGCGTGTGTGCAATGACACACCTGGGGAAGCAGGAGGGCACAATGGAAACCGCTGACTCCGTTTACAGCCTCCAGTGTGCTCCTCACTGGCTCCCCAAGCTTGGGAAAATAACCTAGGCTCTCTAAGCTCTGATTTTTTAAAAAAAGGAATGAATGAATAAGTGTATTTTACCACTACCTACAGTGAAGGTAGTGAGACATGTGAAGGTACTATTACAGTTATAAAAGTTAATACTTCTGAGACGCTGTGCCAACTGCCTCCCAGGGTCACACCAAAATTACAAATAATTTATACAACTTTCAACTTCGGAAGTCCCCTGAACATGAGATGAACAGAACCTCTAAACAAAGGACTTAAAGAGAAGGCCACATTGAGTCTGGTAGGAGGGGCGGAGACGAGAGAGGGTGAACCCCGTGAGGGACACCTCAGCTGTGGAGAGGCTTCTCTGGTTGAGGGAGAGACCCTCCAACATGCACCGAGCTCATCAGCCCAGAGTTACTTTGCCGGGAAGAGGAGTTCTAGGATAGCTGGCAGTAAAAATTAGTGAGGACTCTCTTTGCTCAACTCGGTGAGGCTGAGGGCGACTGGAGAACCACTGGGGCCAGCACATGGGCTCGCTCGCTGGTGAGCACTCACTGGGTCACTGGTAGAGGGAGTAGCTGTGTGAGTGGGGCCCAGGAGCCTGCGGGAAGGACTGAACTGAGCGCCTACGACACAGGAGCTGTAGGTTTTGGGACCATTGTTCCCCTGGCGTGGAGCTTGCACACAAGTAGTGCACAGGAGGGCGCCATTTTTTTCAGGGTTTGGCCCTCCCACAGAGCTCAGGTCCGGGACGCATTGGTCTGCTGGAATTGCCGCAGAAGTGCATGTGCGCGTGCGTGCGTGTGCATGCGGCCTTGGATCCCCATCCTCCGCACTGCCTGTGCTGTGTAGCCAGGGAAATGCCTGGTGGGTGCGCTCTGGCTCCAACAGGCTGTCATTGAGATGCGGAGTGTGCGAGCCACCTTGGGTCCCCGCTCTCCACACTTCATGTACAGAGGGGCTAGGCTGCCAATTGGCTGTGGGGCTGCTCTGCCTGATCTGCGAGCGGCTGATTGGGACAGGCTGAGACTGGGAGTTTTCCTGGGAGTGTTGGGCTGTGAGCTGTGTGCCTACGTGATCCGGCCGGGGTTTTCCAGGCAAGTTTGTGCGGGGTGGTTGCTGGTGCAGGAGTGCATGCTGCTCTGACTTGGTGGGGGCCACTGACCACATCCTGTGGTGCTTAAGGGGCCTGCCCCGCCCACCTACAGCTGTGCTGCCAGGGGGCACCCTGAGCCCCTGGTGCCTGGGCCCCACCTCTGCAGGCCACAGAGGGTTTTTTTTGTAGCAGCAGCAGCCTGCAACAACTTGTGAGGATCTTTGGTGGTGAGCACGGTTCCAGAGCACACAGCAGCTAATTGTGGGAAGCTCACTGCAAGCCTGAGAGGGAGGCCAGCCCATGATGCGTTGAGCCCTTCCCCCCAACAGCTGGCGCTGAGTCACCCAGAGTCTCTCTATTGCTGAGCAACTGGTCTGCAGATTAAAGCCGGTGGAGAGCATCCCCCCCATTTATTGTTTCCCCTTTTTTCTTTTTTTTCTAGGTGATCTATCTAATACATTGAAACAATCACAGAGCCACAGCCAGAATGAAGAAACAAAGAAACATATCCCAACTAAAAGATCAGAAGAAGCCTCTAGAAATGACACTAAATGAAACAGAAGTATCCAACCTTTCAGAGGCAGAGTTTAGAACACTGATGATAATAAGAATGTTTAAGGAACTTAGGACATAAAAAAGGATAGAGAAATCATAAAAAACAACCAGTTAGAACTAAAAAATACAATAACTGAAATGAAGAACACACTCAAAGGAATCACCAGTAGATTAGATGAAGCAGAGGATCGGATCAGTGATTTAGAAGACAAAA